GGCTGAGAAGAGGCGCTGGAGAGATGTCCTAACCCGCCTGATCTCTATAATGCAATCTTTGGCTGAGAGAAATCTTGCATTGAGAGGTTCAGCAAACACATTACACCAGCAACATAATGGAAACTTCTTAAAAGAGGTGGAGCTTCTAGCTAAATTTGATCCTGTCATGAAGCAACACATTGAGCGTGTGGAGAGTGGCCAGTTCAGTCATTCCAGCTATCTTGGAAATCTGATGCAAAATTAACTGATTGCTTCAATCAGTGGGAAAATGTTGGACACAATGGTGACTGAGATTAAACAGTCCAAATATTATTCAATCATTTTGGATTGTACCCCTGACGTAAGCCACCAAGAGCAGATGTCAGTCAAGGACTGTCATAATGGACGAAGCGCCCACAATCAAGGAACACTTTCTAGGATTTCTTGTGGCTTCCGAAACAACAGGTCTTGCTTTGTCATCTTTGATTTTGAACAGGCTTAAGGAGCTTAATATTCCATTTGATGATTGCAGAGGTCAATCATACGATAATGGTGCCAACATGAAGGGGAGGAACAGAGGGGTTCAAGCAAGGCTGCTCCAGAAAAATCCACGTGCACTTTATGTTCCATGTGTGTCACATTCATTGAACTTGGTGGTGGCTGATGCAGCAAAAGCGTCGACAGATGCCATCAGCTACTTTTGTAATGTACAGAACCTGTACACCCTTTTCTCAGCAGCCCCACAAAGATGGGCAATCCTAAAGGAACATCTGACTATTGCACTTAAGTCTTGGAGTGACACACGGTGGGAGAGCCGTGTCAACAGCATAGAGGCAGTGCGGTACCAGGCCCCTAACATAAGGGAGGCATTGTTGGAGGTCAGGGACAAAGTGACAGATCCCCTGACCAAGGTTGAAGCACAGAGTTTGGCAGAAGAGGTTGGGTCATACCGCTTCCTCATTTGCACAGTGGTATGGTATGACATTCTTCACCAATGTTAGCAAGCTCCTGCAGTCGGCCGCAATGCAGCTTGATGTGGTAGTTGACCTCCTTACAAAGGCAAACATGTCTCTGACTAGTTATAGAGACACTGGCTTTGCTGCAGCTCAGGCCACTGCTAAAGACATGTGTGAGGAAATTAATGTGGAGGCTGTGCTGAAAGAGAAGAGACTGAGAAGCACAAACAAACACTTTGCCTATGAAGCCCCAGACGAGCCTATTGCAGATGCCATGAAGAGGCTAGAAACGACATTCTTCAATGTAGTTGTTGACACGACTATTGAATCCTTAAAGGATAGATTTGAAACTCTGGGTGAAGTGAGAGCCAGATTTGGACTGCTGCTCAACTTCAAAAAACTGGATGGTGTAGAATTGTGCAACCAGTGTGACAAGCTCTGCAGCACATTAAGCACTGGAGATGGAGGTGACATTGATGGAAAGGAGCTGGCTCTGGAAATTACCAATCTGCCAAGCCTGCCTACATGTGAAATGACTGCACTTGAGCTCCTCTCTTTCATCCACAAAAAAACCCTGAATGAACTGTATCCCAATCTGTGGATTGCCCTGCGAATCGCCTGCACTCTTCCTGTGACTGGCCTCAGCAGAGAGGAGCTTCTCAAAGCTGAAGCTCATCAAAACCTACCTGAGGTCATGCATGGGACAGGATCGCCTCACTGGTCTTGCCATAATCAGCATCAACCATGAGATTGGCAAGCAGCTGTCATATGATGACATTATTGATGACTTTGCTTCTAAAAAAACAAGGAAGCAGAAGTTTTGAGGAGGAGGAAAAATGTAAAGTAAACATTTTTGAGAAAATGCTGGATCTCTTTCATTTATTGACAGAGGAGCCTCATTGTTTACCTTTTTTTAATATCATTTTCTGTAAGTTTCAATTGCTTGGGTCAACTTGAGATGTTCAATTTGAATTTAAGAGTGGTTTTCGTTAATTTAGCCTGTTTTCCTCTTAAAATGTAACAGATTAATGCATCTCCACAGATCATCTTAAAGGCTTTGTAATCCTCCCAATTTAGTTTGACAAAATAGGGCCCCCAAACAGCATCTTGCATAGGGCCCCCCAAATAGCTAGAAACGGCCCTGAGTATATCTCTGCTCACGCTGTTGCGTCGGCGTGTTCTCCTGCGTCTTGCCATGTGTCGCACTGGAACACACCGCAAAGACTTCAGCCGAGCACGTACGAACTGCGCATGCGTGAGTGGCAATAACTCTCCTTACCAGCAGGCGGCGGTAGTGTGTATTCGTCATTCAAAAGAGGCAACAACAGGAAGACAGAGAAGAAGAACAGACTACGTGATCTAAACAAACAACAAATAGCGTGTGCATTAGCTTCACCTTAGCATGTGTTCTTTGCAGGTGTTTGTTGAGGTTTGACGTGGTGTTTACAGCAGTGGATAACAGCTTCTGTCCTGGACACAGTTTGCACCTCACCGTCACATTCCTGTCTATTCTTCGGACGAACTCAAAATAATGGGCATACCTCCACCCCTTGAAAGTTATCGCTGACTCAGCCATGTTTATGCAGCACTGCACGTGGAGATATGGACGCGCGCGCAGATTACATACATATAAACCTGCGGCGGAAACCCCTCTTGTCTGTCAGTGTGATGATTATGATTTATTTTAGTAAGTAACGAAGTAACGCGTGTCGGGGCAATGTTAGTAACTGTAGTGTGATTACTGAATTATAAAAGTAGCGCGTTACACTACTCCATTACTGACAAAAGTAATATTATTACTGATCTCGAGCCGGTTTCTCAAACTTACCTACCCCACCTTTTAGGAAAATGTTTTTCTTGCTTTCCTCCAAGGTGAACGGAAAATAAAAATGAAATAGAAAAGTCTTGAGGAATTGAAGCAATAGCCGCTTTCTCTCAAAGTACTTTGCTGTACTTAGTGCCGGCACTTATGCGGCTTTCACACCAGCGCTTTTCCCTTTCTAGCCTAGAGCTAGAGCTTTTCTGGTTCAGCTCCGGTTTCCCTTTTCTGCTCCCGCTCTGTTCACACCGCCCAGAGCCCGACTGGTGCTGCCGCTGCTGCGTCATGACGTCACCGTTTACATCGCTGCTTTGCTCCCCAACGGCGTTACGGCGCTCACAACAACAACAACTGCGTCGGGTCGATGATCGTGTTGCTTTTAATCACACGAAGCCAGATTAAATTAAATAACGACTTCTCCAACCTTATGTTTTTCTCCAGAATGCCGTGGTTCATTGTTTATTAATGTGTTTCTGCGGCATTTACCGACCGCTGCAGTGTTGGCTGCTCTTCCACGGGAGGTTATTCTCCCGTTAGCTCCCGGTTAGCTCACACTGCAGCGGCCGCTCTAAAGTATTCATTGTCCGACTCACACAAGCAGCTGATACATATCCCCAGTTCCCCTTAGCCTAAGTGAATGTGTGTCAGTCTGAATTGACGCTGTTTGGCATCACAACGCTGTTATGAAAGTTTATCTGGTATAAAATGGGTGATGTTAGCATAGCAACCGAAGCTAAACTGACTAACTGCTATTGCTATCCTATTGTGGCATACACCGTTTTCTACAGGCACATTTTACCGGCGTATTTGTATTATGATTCTACTTGTGATAGTCGGACACGACAACCTGTGCAGCCCATGTATTGATTCCATCCGATAGCTGCTATAATACAAAACGTCTGCCTCTCTCCACAATGATCAATAACAGTGAACGGATGGTCAAAGTAAGGTACAAATAAACAGAATCACACGAAGCCTGGTTAGTGTTGCCTGACTTTATAAAGTGTGTTTATAAGCACAAACTGCTTGTAGGCAGGCATGACAGTCGACCCATGTTCAGGGGAGGAGGGTTTAGTTTCCTGCACGCCTCGACGTAAGGGAGACGTAAGCGACGCCACCTCTTAGCTCCGAAGCTCTTGCCTCTAGACCAGTGGTTCTCAAACTTTTTCTGTCAGGCCCCCCCTTTGGAGAAAAAAAAATCGGGCCACACACACACAGAGCCGAGCTTTAATGAAACACAGACACCCAGACGTAATAGTACTGTACTGTATCATATTATTTTGGAATCAATAATTTTTCAAAATATGATTTTTGTTTTTTTTAATCTTTTTTTTGTAATAACCATTTTTTCTCCTGGTCTCTCGCGCCACCCCTGTCATGCCTCTGCGCCCCCCTGGGGTGGCGCGCCCCCCACTTTGAGAACCACTGCTCTAGACCGACAATTTTTTGGAGCTGGAAGTGAACCGGATTCCGGAGCTAAGAGGCGGCGCCGCTGCGATGTGAACAGGAAAACCGGCTCTTTTGCCCCTTTCGCGTTTTCAGCTCCGAGCCGGAGCTGAAAACGCGTTGGTGTGAAAGGGGCATTAGTGCTGACTTAGTTCTCTCTCCGACCTAAGATTTTCATTGACATAACTAGTCTGTAGCTATGTTCGTATGACAAATAAAGACCCTTGAACCTTGTTGGTGCGCGGGGCTAATGCTAATGCCATGGCAGCAAATACAATGGCGGCTTTCAGAGCTTTACGTGGCGTGGTTTGCAATTTGCCCAGCCAATAGAAATTGGTACTTTTTTGGTACCACCTCTCTAGCAGGTACTAAAAATGGGGGTAAAAGTTCCCGGCACTTGTACTCTTTTTGGTGTGAACGCGACATAAGGGGTACTAACGGAACTAAACAGGAAAAGTACGGGGAAAAGTACTCCGGTGTGAACGCGCCTACTGGGGATCGTGTTTGACAACTGCAGAGCTACTACAACGGCAGAGCTACTACAACAGTAAACATTACTATAAAAACAAATTTTAGCATCAACAATATCGGCTGTTGTTCAACACAACCCCATTTATCTTAAAAAAATCTAAACTTTTCCCAGGTTTCCCATTTGTTTACCATATAGGCATGTAAGAGAAACACCATATTACCAGAATTCATATTTACACAATGTATTTCATATAAATCTGTAATTTTGGTGGTAAAGTTCTCCTATAACAGACACTTATCTGTGAAGCAGTGAGAGCTGAAGGTCGTACCTGCAATCTGGAAAAGACCAGCAGAACTTCTCGTAGTTTGAACTGCCGCAGCAGGTCCCTGAGCTCGCTGACCACTGTGTAGTCTATAACGCTGACATGATGGCAATCCAGGACCACTGACCGCGGGGGAGACGCTGGGGGGGAGACGATAGGGGGAAAATAACAGGAGAGTAAAGGAAGGAAAAAACTTAAATAAAAGAGATAGTCAATCAAAGAACTTCACAAATGTTTTTGTCATCTAATCAAAGACAGACGAAACAACCCTTACCCTGCAGAGCCTGAGTGTGTATGAGGTGGCTGAGATACTCTGTGGCAGGAAAGCTGAGCCCACTGCCCAACTCCATCACCAGCATGCCGGGATCAGACACCTCCACAATACGGGAGACAAAATTGATCGGTTACTTTTGAGATACCAGGATTTTGTTGTGTTATTTGGTGAGAAAAAATGCAATCTTGCTCAAGGCACCTAAATCTGATCTTTGATCTTGAGCATAGACAATAAAGATTCACTGTTTAATGGCATTTGCAAATATCTCCATGTCACCATCAACTAAAGATGGGGGATATCAAGAAAACATCATCAAAATATAATGTATGTTCTGATACAATATATATCATTATATGAGTTTCATTCAGAAACTGTGGTGTGGTTTTGGCTGTTACGAAAAAAAACGGAAAACAAGTTTTGGTGATAGCAACTCCTCTTACTCAAGCGGAGGACTATAGTACCTTTACAGGAAACCAGGCCACTGTTGCTTGAAGGGCTTTAAATAGCACAATCATTCACACACACTCAATTGACACAACATTGTACCTTTATTTGTGGTCTGGCCGTGTGGTACAGCAGCAGGACTCCTGATACAGCTACACCTCCCACGATGCCGTACTGCACCTCCCAGAAACTCATCAGGAACGTCACAACGAAAGGCACCAGGTCCAGCTCTGAGGGAGACACACGAGCATGAGAACACAACTCAAAGACAAACATGTCTGAGACTTACTTAAGTAATAAAACAGAGAAGACACCTACTGCGTATCCTCCACATCTTAGCCACGACTTGATAATCCACCATGGGAGCGACCGCACAGATGATAACAGCAGCGAGAGCAGCTTTGGGGATGTAGTAGAAGGCGGGCATGAGGAACGCCAGGGAGAGCAACACTATCACACCTGAAGTCACACACAGAAGGAGAAGGAGAAATCTTTATTTCCATACTGATCGAACTTCACAGACTGAGCAGAAATGAAACCTTAACAAATACGCCAAAATATAAAAAAGAGAGACATAATGGAAAATCACATGAATACATGAAACATAGCTAAAATATACAAATGTGATGTCTCAACAGCATACTCTGTAATATCATTTCTTTATTAACTTTTAAATGAATTGTTTATTAACAAACGTTGATCACAAAGTCAGGGTGATGTGTCTTTCGTGATTTAACTTTATATGGACTGTTATTATTACGTTTGTTTGAGGTGGAGTATGTTGGATGCTAAATTATTTATTATCTCTTACCTATTTTAGACAAATATTTAGTTTTAATGGTTTATCTGTTAATGTTAGTTGCTTTATTAGCTTGTAAATGTTTCTTAATAATACACAAACTCCCTCACATTCTAGACGTGTTGGTAAGATATCTTTTTTATTAAGCTTTTTAGTGTCTGCGGCTATGTAAAGCTTCAAATAGCTTATTGGGTTTTCCCATTTCATATATCTTCATTCTGTCTTATGATTGTGTTTGTATTTTTAATTGTGGATTAAAGAAAATGTTGAATAGCATTGACCTCCATGTCGACCCTTAGACATCACTATAGAGAAAAGAGAGGGTAAGGGGATAAAAGGAAACAAGGGAAGTGTGGATAATAGATGATAACACAGACCACCACTAGAGGGCGGAAGAGATACAGAGAAGATTAAAGGTATCAGACTCACTGGTGACGATCCCTCCAGCTGGAGTGCAAACACCAGTCTGAGAGTTCACTGCTGTTCTGGATGTGAGTAGAAAACATAAAGCTGTTCATATTAGACACCTGAGCTCTCGTACACACAACCCAGACACACACACTGACAAACTAGACACACACACACCTCCCGAAGCTTCCCGTGACGGGGTACGCGGACACAAAGGAGCCCATGATGTTGGTCACACCAATAGCCAGCAGCTCCTGGTTGGCATCAATTCTGTAGTCGTTCTGACTGGCTGAGGAGAAACAGGAAATTCAAATCTGTCAACGATCTGAAGAGACACTCATTCTTTGAGAAGTGTCAAGCTGCAGAGCTTCGGGTAAAAATCACAATGATACTGATGACAATGCTACACTTGATGATGATGTTGTTTACCAAGTTGGTTGGTAATTAGAACATAGCACAGCTAGGTTCAATAGGATGTTATTAGTTCTGCAAAGATCTTGGTTTTGGTTATTATAATTCTTTCTGAAGGGGGCCATAACAACATATTTCATGGCAATCCATCCAAAACTTTGAAATCAAACCACAAATATTAACTTAATTGAGGTGCCGGAAGAAGTCAAAAAGTCATTAGGATCATCCTCTGAGGATTATACATTTCTTAACCAAATCTAATTGGAATCCATCCGATTGTTGATATATTTGTATCTGGATCAAAATGATGGACTGACCAACTGACGGCAACATTGCCATCGTTACGCAGCTAGCATGGCTTACAAAACGTACCAAATGCTTTAGCAATAGCAATGCTCTCCAACAGACCCATGAAGGGGATCACTGCCATCCCCCCACCGAAGTCCTGCACACAACACACACAGAGGACTGGCTAGTCAGCTGATCTTCTTGTGAAGTTCAATCGTTTAGTAAAATCATTCCCTGCCCTCACCCTGAATCGGGCCTCCTCTCTCTGCTTCTTACCTCTACAATCTCTCCAAAGGTGACGACGGTGCCGTTGGCTGTGGTGTCTGAGGTGGGCGGGGGCTTGAACGGTGGGAGACCCTTAGAAGTTTCCCCTGTGACCGTAAACACGGGATGGCCGAAAGCGTTCCAGGAAAAGGCTACACAGGATGCTGCTACCACCACCAAAACGTTACGCACTGACCAAGACAGAGAAGACACGAATAAATAGAGTAAAAGTTTAGAAAAGTATACATAAAGCAGGCACAATGTAGAATGTATACAATATCAATCACAAAGATAAAGATATGTGCACCCTGCAAAGCTGTTATAACTTTATATAATACAATTATAACACATTTAGATTAGACCAGCAGCAATTACTTTATTTATTAAAGTGATGTCAGAAAAGGCTGTTTTTAGCCTCTCAAATATGAATCTTTTATTTAAAAAAAAAAATACAGTTAATTCATTTGGGTTTTGGCTGACAAAGCATGCCATTTAAAGACATTGCTTTAAATGTTTTTGCTATCTTGAAAAGGATGGACACACTCATACACAGACACACAAAGTCACAACCACACAGTACTGACTGGATGGACACACTCACACACAGACACACAAAGTCACAACCACACTGACTGGTCGCAGCGGTCCACACTAGTCTCCGGGCGATCGTTGTGGAGCAGCTGGGAGCGTCGTCAGAGCCCAGACTCTTCTTCATGAACACCAACATGACCAGCACAGAGAGGCTCAGCAGACCTATCACCACGTCACCTATCCTGGCTTCTGGGATCTTGTAGAAGGTGTAGTAGACCTCCAAGACAAAGTCGTGGGGAATGCCATCGAGTCCTAGAATATTCTGGAAAACAGAAACAATGGGACTGCTATCAACCGAAAGCATTAACAATGAGAAAGCAGTTTTCTCTCCTTGGTTTTTCGAATTAGATTTATAATAACATTTGTTTACACTGAGGGTAAATCGTATATCTTTAAAGGGGCCCCATTATGGCATAATAATGAACGCTGCTTTACCATGTTTAGTTCTGACTCTGGGGACAGAAAGCTGACCAGTCCCTGAAGACCTGAGAGATCTGGATGGTTCATAATTTAGCAGGAGGTCAGAAATGTATTTTGGGCCTAAACCTTTCAGTGCTTTATAAACCAGCAGCAGTATTTCGAAATATATTCTTTGACACACAGGAAGCCAGTGTAAATACTTCAGAACAGGAGTGATGTGATCCACTTTCTTAGTGTCAGTGAGGACTCGAGCAGGGCGTTCTGAATCAGCTGCAGCTTTCTAATGGATTTGAGTGAGACCTGTAAAGACACCATTACAGTAGTCCAGTCTACTGAAGATAAAAGCATGGACAAGTTTTTCCAAATCCTGCTGTCACATTAGTCTTTTTAAGACTTTTAAACGACTAATGTTTCTCCTCTTTTTAAGGAGAAACTCCCTCTGGGAACTTTGAGATTTTAGCCTTTGCAGACCATTTACATGCGCACAAACCTATATAACACACTATAAGAAAGGGAAAACCCCACAAAGCAAAATAGGGCCTCTTTAAAGATGTAAAAGCAGCAGTTATATGTATCTTTAGCTAGACAGCGTTAAAAGGATATTGAGACAGGCCTGTTAACATGTAGAGTAGCTGGTTACATGGTTGATTTGATGTGTAGTTTTTCCTGTTAGTTTGTGGGTCTGGATGTATTCAACTCTCACCTTGACTTGGCCAAAGCCAATGGTTACCGCAGCAGCACAAGTGAAGCCTTTTATTACAGGGTAGGCGATGAAGTCCAGCAGGAAACCTTAATAAGACAAGCATGACACTGACTTAGAACCAGAAATATATAAAATAAAGTATGATTTATCTACATATTTCCGAGGAAATGTGTGTGGTTAGGCAGAGGAAGTCATAGATGTGGTGGTAGGAAGTGGCTTCGCTGCACTCACAAACATATCTCTTGTTTCCTCACAGTCTCTGCAGTCTCATTTTTCTTTCTCTCTTCTAAACACTTTTTTTCTTATATTGTATTGATCTAATATCAGATTTTGATACAGAGCTCATTCATTTTACAGACTGAAAGATGTAATGCTAAATTAGCACTGCTATCAGGTGAAAACAATGTGTCTCATTGTGGATAAAAACTCCCATTTTATTTTGGTTAAAGAAGTCTCTCGAGTGTTAACTTGATAAATAAACTTTTCCAAAAACTGGATCCATAAGGTTTTCTCATGACCACCACTAATCACCTAATCTCAGTAAAGCCATTCCAGCCTGGATGAGTCCACAGAGGAGGCTGAGCAGCACGGCGCGGTGAGGCTGCCCCCCAACCACAGAGAAACACAGGAGGGACATGATGGCTGTGGGACCCAGTGTCACGTCCTTAGAGGTCCCCAGGAGGGTGTAGACGAACCCCCCCATGAAGGCAGAGTAGAGTCCGTACTGTGGGGGGAAATGCTTTTAGATCTGGTTTCTACTCTTGTTGCTTCACCAGAGTTTGACACTGTAACCCTTCTTTTCCACATTCGGCTGCTGAGGGGTAGAGTCTCTCTATGCTCACCCCGAATCTGAGTTTATGATGTGAACGTACAGGCAGGATTTTCTGACCACAAATATATAACAGCCAATCATGGTTAATTATGCGATTTATGGGATGTGGAAACTTAAAAAGCAGCCCGAGAAGCAGACAGCTCTGTCTCTAGATGCTTTTTATGATAATGTTCTATGTTATTGTTTTTTTAATTTGTGTTGGGTAACTGTACAGCTGCCTATCTTGGTCAGGACTCTGTTGCAAAAGACATTTTTAATCTCAGTGAGACTTTCCTGGTTTAATAACGGTTTAAAAATCCCATTGACCAAAAATGGAAACATTTAAACTTTTGAAGTGAACAGTATTTGCATAGATTCAGTAATTTTCTAATAATAGAGAATACATATTTGTAGTATAATGTACCTATAATCTAGTTGTTTCTCAATAAATTCATAAATGATTTAAATCGACAAAATGTCAGAAAAAAACATGTTATTTCCAAGAACCCATGTTGACATCTTGACACAAGAAATGTTTGCTTTCCAAAGGTGACAATTGATTGACTCCCATATAAATGCTGGTTAATATTCTCTCATTCAACTTATTGTTTAGGCTTGATGATGACTAAATAAATAAATGATTTTAAACATTGATATTGATAAATAAAATACACCATGATTTCCACTCTTGCTGTCCAGAAGAGGGATTGCTCAAATCACCAAGAAAACAAGCAACCCATTTAAGGAAGTGTATATGGATCCAATTAAAGAAAACCAGAACAAGACCATTTGAACCACTTTATGATTAAAAACAGCCCGGCTTAAGATCTGGAGAGAGTTGAATCTAAAGGATGAATCTTCACAAACAGCACAGCTAGGATTCACCTGCACAGGAAGGCCGGCTACTTCAGCGTAGGCCAGCGCCTGAGGGACGGTGGTCAGCCCCACAGTGAGGCCGGCCAGCAGGTCCATCTGCAGCCACTTCAGCCGGTACCGGGGTGCCCAGGAGAGGAGGGGCAGCCAGGCCTTCAGAGAGCTGTAGGAGCAGCACAGGGCGGACCCTCGTCCCAGCAGAGGACGCTCCATCACTTAGGAGTCAGAAGAGAGGAGGGGAAACCTGGAGAGGAGGAGGACAACACAAAGGATGAACAGACAGCAGCAAGTGGACAGAGGAAAAGGTTTGCAAATTCGAAAGCGTGCAGAACAAAATAATGTACACAAAAATGTGAAGTTTCCGTCTCTGTTTTAAATGCAGTGGAGTGAACTAACGAAGTACATTTACTCAAGTACTGTACTAAAGTAACATTTTGAGTTCCTTGAGTATTTACACGTGTTGCTACTTTGTACTGCTACTCCACTACAATTCAGAGATAAATTGTGTATTTTACTCTACTACATTTATTTATTACCTTTAGTTACTTTGCAGATTTGGATAAATAATGTGAAACACAAACAACTGTAAAAAAAAACCTGGAGTAAATTCACAAGCTACCCTGCAGTATACAAAGTCATTCGAACTAGCTACACCTTTACCAGCTCTGATAACACTTTAATGATCAATCATTATAATCAAAACATATCATATATTCTATTCTGAAATGGACAAATCTGCAGAATGACTACTTTTACTTTTGGTACTTCAACTATATGTTGATGCTTATACTAGTGTACTTTTACTTGAGCAACATTAACCCAACACACACCCAAACCCAAACCCAACCAAGATGTTGCTCTGTGTTCTTCTGGATAAACACACAGAGCATCAAAGAAAGTGGATGCCATATTTTCAGATGCATGCTAGCAGCATCTGTGTGCAATGGAGAAAAAAACACGAACAAATTCTTCAGTCGATATAACTTGAAAAGTTACCCGAGGACATATTTATTTCTCTGACGCTTTGACTGAACAAGCTTTGAGGTTTCATAATCATATGATAGTCATATGACAGGTTGGCTCTCGACACTGTTTCTTTTTGTGTTATGACAGCAAACCTTTCCATAAGCTATTCCTACAAATATTCCTAACCCTACTGTAAGCTTTATCTGACAGTGTGGTGTTTTATTTATTACCATCGTGTCCTATATTGCATCTGTTACCAATTATACTATAATAGATCAACAATAAGCGGTTGCATTGAAAAAGTAGAAAAACATGACTGATTTAAATTAAAAATCTGTGTTAGTGGAAGAAAGGGAAAGTTATAAATAAAGATAAAATAGAATAGATGAAAAAACGAAGATAGAAAACACTATACATTACAGTACAGAGTAATATAAATAACATAATAGATCAAAGTATAATAATAGAATAGAATAGAGCAGCAACAAATAAAATACAATAGAAAAAACAAGACAACAGGAAATAGAAACTCTTACTTAAAGTGGTGTCTTCTTCTTTATTTCCCCATGGTTTAGCTGTGATTTTCAGGACTTTCGCTGACAACGCGTTTTTGTTCCTTTTTGCTGAAACCACTTCCTAAAATGTATATCATTTTGCAGACGAAGCGCGAGCCATGAGCGCGAGACAGTAGGTTCCTGTTTTCTGTTTGCACGTGACCTCTGTCATGTGATCCTTAGTAGGCGGGGCTTAAATTGTTTAAGGAAGACGGGAAAACAAATCTGTGATGTAGCACAGTTCTGTTATAAGTCATTGTATCTACTTGTTTTAAATGATAAATGACTTAATTTATTGAATATAATTGTTTAGACGCACTTTACATGTTTCCTAGCCAAACCAGCAGACAGTTTGAGATGTAGAAAGCGAGTTTTAATGGGAAACAGTAAGGAAAGCTAAACATCATCATGCTTCTTCAGTATCTTCTCCTCTTGGCATCATGTAGCATCGGGGAGTCAAAGAGGAGAAATGTGCTTCTAATAATTGGTGAGTTTTTACATTTACATCGAGTGATAAGTCGTGGCAGGTTTACATACTTAAATGCCTTTGGGCTGCAATAATCAAATGTGCAGTTACAGTATACGCAGTCCCCAGTTTATTAAGTAAGACCAATCAGAATTCCTTTATTAGTCCCACAGCAGGGACATGGACAGTGTTACAGCAAAAAGTGTCATAGCAGGTACAAAAAGGCATACAATAATAAAGAATAAGCTAACTAAGAGAATACATGCACACATTAGTAATAATAGAATACAAACAAAGACATAAGTTCACATCCATGGCTAAAAATGAGGAGCAGCAACTTTAGAACTTAGTGACATAAGTACACATTAGGTGTTGAGACATTATACAAAAATGTTGGGACATTTATCACAATGTAGGTTTTCCGATAAAGGTGATTATTGCACAGTATTGCAAAAATAGTGTCCATATTGCACAGGATTCCACAGTCTGTATTATGTGGGGGGGTCTACCAGGGGTCTACACATCAGTCCTACAATCATTCAAATTGCATTACCCAGGTTAGTTCTGCTATCTAGTCTTGAGGATATAGATGGGGTGGACACATTAACAGACCTCTTTGAATAATGAAATGCACTATGTGGTCAAAAGTATGTTGACACTCCTGTCTTTCTTTAAACCAAACATGCCATAGAGCTCAAAGCCAGGATCAGGACTAGTCCTTAAAAAAAAAAACACTCTATAGACTACTTGATAATTGCCTGATGAAGTAAAGTCATTTTCACTCATACAATGTCAGAAAATGCTGTTTTCCGCCTATCAAATACACAGATTTCCTGCCTTTCTCTGTTTTATAACAAGGTCAAGTGATTATCTCTGGGTTCTGGACTGCCAAACAAGACATTTGAGGAACTCACCTTGGAGTTTGAGAAATTGGGATGAACACTTTGTAACTATTGTATGGCCATGGGAGCTTAAGAGCTAAGGAATGTGCTTTCCCCCCCTCTTCCAGCTGATGATGCCGGCTTTGAGACAGAGGTGTATAACAACTCTGTGGTCCACACCCCCCACCTGCGCTCTCTGGCCCAGCGCAGCCTGGTGTTCAGCAACGCCTTCACCTCCGTCAGCAGCTGCTCCCCCAGCCGCTCCACCATCCTTACCGGCCTGCCACAGGTAACACACACACACACACACACACACACACACACACACACACACACACACACACACACACACACACACACACACACACACACACACACACACACACACACACACACACACACACACACACACACACACACACACACACACACACACACACACACACACACTCATTTGTGCAAGTGTATTTATGTCTGTGTGGTGTGTTTTCAGCACCAGAACGGCATGTACGGGCTTCACCAGGGTGTTCACCACTTCAACTCATTTGATGGAGTTCAAAGTCTGCCGCTGCTCCTCGGCCAGGCCAACGTACACACAGGTGAGAAACACAAAGACTACTCTTACTAACTTTTGGCTCTTATCACTATGTATTCTACACTTCCTTTTTTACCGTCTCCCTCCAACAGGGATAATTGGAAAGAAGCATGTCGGCCCTGGATCAGTTTACCCTTTTGATTTTGCCTACACCGAGGAGAACAACTCTGTCCTCCAGGTGGGGAGGAACATCACCCGCATCAAGCTCCTGGTGCGAAAGTTTTTCCGGACCCATAAAGAGGAAGCCTTTGAAAGACGCCAAATGAGAGAGGAAGATTCTGACAGTTTAAAAGATGAAGAGAGGCCGTTTTTCCTGTATGTTGCCTTTCATGACACCCACCGATGTGGACACTCTCAGCCGCAGTACGGAGCTTTCTGTGAGAAGTTTGGGAATGGGGAAATGGGGATGGGAAGAATTCCTGACTGGACACCGGAATATTACACACCAGAGCAAGTCAAGGTCAGTGCCGTACAGATTGTATGTTATTAGCTAAAACACATTATATTAATTGGTATAACATCACCTTTTGAAATATGAATCGACACCTGTTTTAAAAACATAACTGCAAATTTAAAAGCATATTTTTTGTGTTCGCTGAAGATGATAACATTTTTATTTCCATTTCGCAGTCACACTTTTACTGCTGCTGTTATACTGATATTAAAGGAAGACACAACACAAGGATAGGGGGACACATTTGACCTAAATATATCAGCATGGATCTTAAATATTATTTGTATTACAGGTTTCGTGGAATCTTATGCCTAAAATGAGCAAATGAGGCTTTAGGTTATGCTAAGTTGTTGTTTAGATACACCATTTTATAAAGTAAAATATATCTGAAAAAGGCTGTTTTTACTTGCAGTGTCTTGCCTAATCAAACAAAGTCAGGAACTCTCAGACTTTGACTTATTGATTATTGCAAATGTTCCAAATGTTTTCAGATGTTGAATGGAATGCAGAGCTGCTTACATGTGTATCTGTTCTCACCTAGGTCCCTCCCTTTGTGCCGGACACACCTGTGGCGCGCTCCGACCTGGCAGCGCAGTACACCACGGTCAGCAGGCTGGACCAAGGTCTGTAACACCTGCAGCCAGCTCAGAAAAACACACGTTATTCTTGTGAAACACCAAAAGATATAACGCTGTGGTTTTCCTCCGCAGGAATCGGTTTAGTTCTCCAGGAGCTCAGAGACGCCGGTTATGAGAACGACACTCTGGTCATCTACAGCTCAGATAACGGCATCCCCTTCCCCAACGGCAGGACCAACCTGTACCGCTCCGGCACTGCAGAGCCCATGCTGCTGTCCTCTCCAGAGCACAGGGGGCGCTGGGGGGGCACCAGCCAGGCCTACGTCAGCCTGCTGGGTGAGGGGTGGATGGCAGAGAGAAGTGGAGGAGGGTTTTAAAAATATAGATTATAAGTCTATTAGCCACTTGTTGTGTCACAGTATCTATAGCAGGTCTGGTTCCAGTTTCTGGATCTTTTTTTGGCTATCCTCCTTGCAAAGAATTAACAAATATCTTATTTGACATGATGCCTCACCACAGGTTGTGGCCTTATTGAAGAACGCTTAGTGAGCAGTTAAACCACATAGAAAATGATTACAAGCTAAAAAAGTAAAGGGATTTTTGGAGAAAAATACAAGAAAAAAGCGTTTTTCTTTCTTTAGTCGTCTCAGATTTACGATTATACTTTAGAACAATACATGAAAAAAATAATTGAACATAACAATCACTGAGAGAAACATGCTCAAAGACCCTTTATCGTGCTTTCAGATTGGTCTAGAGAGCCCTTGGTTTACTCAACTGGCCTTCTCAAATGAACAAGAAGTAAATGTGCTGATCCGATGAATCAGCCACAAGAGGGAGACACATCACCGAGGCATCAGCAGCCGATCCCAGATAAAAAAAGAAACGGAAAATGATTCCCTTAGAAGGCAATGATTTAATGAAAATAAAATAATCACAATAGTAATGGTTATAATATAAATGTCTGCAGAAGATAATACCACTACATATTAACTAAATATTAAAGTATGGCGTAATGAACATCAAGCAGTTGAGGCAGAAAGGGAAATGATGAGGGGAATATTGAGTTTGAGTGTCATATAGTGCCCAAGGCTATGAAAACAATGCATCTCCAGCTGTTATAAAAACAACACTGTTGACCATGGGTTCGTAAAAGAGTTCTTCACCCACACAGTGCACAATTGTTTTTATCGAATACTCGCCCGCATCACCTTGAAGAGAGAGAATAACAAAGCTCTCTTTAAGAGTTCAAGGTTATTCGGAGGGAGTCATTCTTAATCAGTCCTTTTGTTGATTAATTATTCCTTTTTAAATATTTTAGTTTTAATTAAGTGGGACAATGTTCTCAATCAAAGGCTTGATCCTTCACTTACTCAGGAAACATTTAAAACCTGCTAATTTGTAGTTCATTTTCATTTTTACAGTGACATGTATGTAAACACTCACTGTTTCTCTTCTTCTTTTTGATGTGGCAGACATCACCCCCACCATTCTGGACTGGCTCTCGGTCCCCTACCCATCCTACAGACTCCCCGGGGACCGCTCCACCCCGGTGCACCTCACGGGTCGCTCCTTACTTCCTGCGCTGGTCACGGAGCCCAGCAGCTGGAACACGGTCTACGGCAGCCAGTCCCTGCACGAGGTGCGTAAGGATGTCAGACGGTGTACACATGGAAGAAGTGGAGGCCCTGACTTGTGTTCTTTGTTTCAGGTTACCATGTACTACCCAATGCGCTCCGTCCACCAGGGGGCGTACCACCTTCTCCACAACATGCACTACCGCATGCCCTTCCCCATCGACCAGGACTTCTACGTGTCCCCCACCTTCCAGGACCTGCTGAACCGCACCCGGTTGAGCGAGCCCACCCATTGGTTCAAGAGCCTGCAGCAGTATTACTACAGAGAGCGCTGGGAGCTGTTCCACTCCAGGTGAGGTGGGGGACGGGGGACGGGGGGGACATGGTCACTATGATTATCCACAGAATAAATACCACACATTAGGTAAATGAGCTCTCTAAAGAGCAATCACAAGACTTGACCTATATGGTTCTGGTGTAAATGAGTTACACGTGCCACCGTTCAAAGTGAATGCTATTTAGTTATAAGGGAAATGTAAGAAATTGTTAACATGAGGTAGAAAATATGCTAAAGGAAGAGGGAACAGTTACGCTTCTCAAAAAAAACCTCATAGAATATGTAGATGATTTAATTACCTATTTGTATTTTGCAGTACAATCTACGTGGCTACATTTGTACGCAGCTATAAAAAAAATGCAGGTACATTTATAGCCTAAGTAATCATGACAAATAACAATGATCCATACATACATTAGAAAAATGTAAAAGGACTAAAGTACAGGCTATACAATTTAGATTAAAGTTAATAAAATGAGTACCTTTCAATTTGACAGGTGACACACAGAACATTTATTCACATTCAGAAATGTGATGATCCTTTGTGTAAGACACCATTTAAAGATATCTTCTGGTTCCAGCATCCCAAATATGAGGATTTGCTTCTCTCTGTTTTTATCTCCCCCGTCATCAAATATCTCTCGTCTTTATACAGTTGCTTGTTCCAACAAGTCAGCTGGAGAAATGTTCACTCTTTATGGATATTTTAGAGACAAAATGACAAAGAAATAACATCCTATTAATTAAACATTCAAATAATCCTTCCTTTGCTTGATGTGAACTAATGCAACAACAGAGCACAGACATGTTCTCTGTTGTGCTCGGATGAGTCAGTTCTTTCTTTGACCTGGAAAACTAACAGAAAACATAATAGAGTATTAGGACTGATTACTGTGTTTAAAACATTTGATTGAATTAGGAAATCCATTCCTCTTGAATTTAACCTGATTTCAACCACCATCATTCATCAAAGTCACAGTCAGAAGACTTCTTTATAATTCATGTTTTAAGTGTTAACTCTGGGCTGTTACAGTGTGTATTTTACTGTCCATTATTTTCTTAATTATTTTCTAGATTTCCAAGAAATAAACAGGAAATCTGATACTAATTATAATGAATATGATTATACCGGTTATTTTTTATTTTCTAACCTGTGTATCCTTGTGACTATTATTATTTTGTTGTTTTGTTTCCCATTGTAAAGCGTCCTTGGGTCTCTTGAAAGGCGCTATAAAAATGTAAATTATTATTACGAGGACCATGGTGTCTTGTATCTTATTCTTTCTGTTCCTAAAGTTTGAATCTTCCTCCCCCCACAGCACAGACCCCCTGGAAACTAAGAACCTGGCCTCAGAACCAGCTTACAGCGGCGTGCTGGAGAACCTGAGGCAGGGTCTGCAGAAGTGGCAGTGGCAGACCGGCGACCCCTGGGTCTGCGGGCCAGACTACGTCCTGGAGGACAAGCTAGAGCCGCAGTGCAGACCTCTTTACAACGGACTCTGATGGTGCTTTAACTCATGTGGATTGACATGATGTCCGCCTACATGAACACATTTGTCTTAATAAATCTCTAGTATTATTTTTCTATGCTGCTTTTAATGGTTAATAAACATGAATTGCCTTATTGCTTGACATTATTTGTATATAGGATCTTAATGTAAGCAGATAAATTAATCATACAGGTCCTTCTTATTACATATCATATAATTTATTATCTGTCTCTATACATTTAAAGTAATTTTCCCATCATCCAGACCCCCTCATAACCTGGTTTCATATAAAGCAATAGTTTTACCTGTTTTGGCTATTATTAAATTGGACAAAAGTAGATGCATCTTAGTTTACGTCTCCATCACTGTTGTGCTACTGATCTGCTGATAGAGGCAGTGGAAATCATGATGCATGACCAGAGAGGTTGGCAAATCAATGGGGAAAAGGGTTTGTATTGATTCCTCCGAGCTTCACTTTCAAGTAAGACTGAGTCTCAAACCATCCGTGTAAAAAGCGTTTGAAACAGGAATACAATTTGGATTAGTCGATTATTCACTTGTATTCATTGATTGTTTTTTAAGAGTATATACATTTGTCCATTTGAGGCCTTTTGAAGCCACTGATTCTGCTTGGTTGTGTCACATGCAATACATTTACTTCTTGTTCATTTGAGAAGGCCAGTTGAGTAAACCAAGGGCTCTCTAGACCAATCTGAAAGCACGATAAAGAGTCTTTGAGTATGTTTCTCTCAGAGATTGTTATGTTCAATTATTTTTTTCATGTATTGTTCTAAAGTATAATTGTAAATCTGAGACGATTAAAGAAAGAAAAACGCTTTTTTCTTGTATTTTTTTCCAAAAATCCCTTTACTTTTTTTAGCTTGTAATCATTTTCTATGTGGTTTAACTGCTCACTAAGCGTTCTTCAATAAGGCCGCAGCGGTCAAGAAGGCACTGATGCAGTTAAACCACCTGTGAGCACTTTGTGTGGGATTTTACTGGCAAATTGAATCGAATTTTTTTATCAACTGATCTTTCACTGCTGAAATCAAACTAAAGTCATGGTTTGCTTTGATCCATTTCACATTCAGTATATTTTAAAGCTAACAAGTAGTTAGTCAATTTATTCAGACATAAAAAGTTCACCTTCCTTAAAGTAAATCAGGAAATATTTCAGTTTTCACCACTTACGTCATTATGAAAGACGTATACGGGACGTCAGAGAAGGGCTGACTTCCCGTATACATCTTCAGCCCCCTCCACACACACACACACACACACACACACACACACACACACACACACACACACACACACACACACACACACACACACACACACACACACACACACACACACACACACACACACACACACACACACACACACACACACACACACACACACACACACACACACACACACACACACACACACACACACACCTTTTTTTCCCTTCTCACGCACAATGACAGATCCAAAAACGCCCACCTCAAATTTGATTTGACGAACGTCTTGGGTCACGATAACGTCGCCTTGTCCGCCTATATAAGCAGCAGAAAGTTTCCAAATAAGCAGCAAAACATAAAGTCGGCCTCTGACAAACAGACGAGAAACGCGCCGTTTTCCCTTTGCGTAAAACAGTTCCAGACATGGAGAGGTCAGTCAGGTTTGCCGTGGTTTGCGTCGGAGTGTCTCTGCTCATCTCCTGCCATCCAGCCGAAGCCTGGTACAAGCAGTCCACCGGGCCCAGCTACTACTCGGTGGGGCGCGCCTCCGGTCTGCTGTCCGGTATCAGGAGGTCGCCTTACGTCCGCAGGTCCGAGTCCGAGGATACGCTGGTGGACAGCGGGGAGACGGCGGGAAACAACGTGACCCCAGAGACCAACAGGCAGATCTCCATCCTCAAAAGCATGGTGAGTTCAGACGGCTCACTTTATTCCGTGAGAAAGGGACGCGCGTAACAATTGCTTTCCATCAGCACCACATATTTAAAGTTTGCTTGGAAGTTTAGGAATATTTTCAACAGAGCAACACTTATTTGAAGATTTCACAACAGCTTGTATTACCCTTGCTTTTATAAAGACGACGAAACAAACTAAAAACTAATCTTAAATGATCAAAGTTGGTGCGTAAAAACGCACTAAAAGATGACATTTACAAATTAACCAAGGAACATGTTTTCGGATCTCAAATCATTAGCCGACCTCAGGAAAACACTCGAATAAAGGCAAAAAATATATAACAAGAATTAAAATAAAGGATTTGTCTAATAAGAGATGTGTTTATTATGGCGAACCATAGACTACACAACGGAATAGTCCCCCCAATTCAAATACAAGCCTACGATTAGTTTCAGAAGTACAAACATAAATGTGACATCTTATTTAGCCAGCTGTTAACTTTAAATCCTCATTATTATTTCCCCTACCTGCAGGCCATCTGCGTCAAAGACATCTCTCCAAACCTGAAGAGCTGCGAGCTGCTGCCGGACGGGACGGGCACCTTCCAGTGTAAGGCGGACGTCTTCCTCACCCTGGACTCCCTGGACTGCCTGTCCGCGTGAGTCCCGCGCGGACCGGACCACGCGCCGAGCCCCGGGAGCGCCTCTCTTGTAACGAAAGATGAAGGAAAGCAAAGAGGGGCTGGAGGAGTGTGTGAGGTGGGGATAGCGCAGAGGAAAACCTGATCACTGTCAACGATGGACCGCCGCGGACTCTGAATGTTCTCTTGTTTGAAAATACCTTTTGCTTTGTGTAGAAAAAGAGATGTTAGTTGATCTTCTTTCCAGTTGACTTCCCATCTTTACTGTTTAAACCCCTGACATGTACCCTCCCTTATGTATTAAATGTCCAGAACGTTAACTGCAGAGCAGATTTCCTGGAAAGTTATTTTATTTATTTTATCTATTAAAATGAACAAACACTGGTAACCTGTTGTATTGCTTAAAATTGTCTTTAGAAATCCAACTATTGGGGGGGGAAATAACATTTGATCAATTTATCTACTCCGACAAAGAATGGAGATATAAGTGAAAATAAGGTCGTCAGCATATCACATTTAATTCGAATCGCAGTAACAGTGCAATACTCACAGACCATAAATAAGTCTGATTATCACATGGCGTTTGAGATTCAAAGAGTAGAAATACCAAAAGATATTCTGAAAGTGGGAAAAAGAAAACATTTCATACATATTAAGCATTTAAGTTACACAACAGATGAAAACTCTTCATTATGAGGCACTTGGGGCTGTGTTTCGCTTGTTTTTCATCTTCAGTGTGCATATCAGAGGGGATCAGTCATCATTACCATATCTTGTTTATTGCAGGAGCTCTTGTGATAGTCTGTAGCTCAGGGGAGCCTCCAGTCAGACCCCAGCGGAGTTAATGCCACACAAATCACAGATTCACAAATCAGGTTTTATGAGCACATGCATGTAAGAAAGGCAAACAGAAAGGAAATGAAACTGTTGGGTGACAGTTCAGGGATGTCTCTTTATACGTTCACTTTTCCCATGTCTAACATTAGAAACCAGCATCTTGGCTGACTGGTAAGAGTCAGGGGAACAAGTATAAGCAGAGATGACAATAAAAGAAGTGATCATTTAAACTCAGGACCAGTAAACATGAACCGGAGTGCTTTTACTGTGATCAGCGCCTCATTAGGAGGGTGTGACGCACAGGATGTGCACAGTGATGGATGAGCGGAAAACACCCTGCGGTATGCACGAGTGACCACCGCGCAGAGGAAGTAACGGACAAACAGTTAATCCTCGCCTCCTCTGTGTCCCACCCACACACACACACAACAGGATGTGATGGGCAAATAAATGGCATGTGTGTATATCAAGTCATCTAAAAAGTAACTTCACGATTCAGTCAGGTTTAAGTACAGTACAGATTTAGAAATGCCCGTAACTAAACACAAGTGTTTCTCCTTTAAAAAAGAGCTGTTGTAGGCTACGTGGAGCATCCCATAGGATTAAATGCAACAAATCAAAGAGCATGAGAGCTTCCAGGATGTAGCTCGAGAGAGAAAACAGGCGCTTGGAGCAGACTTTTAAAATAAGACCTCCATAAGGAGACTGTCTCTGAGCGACTGGCAGCTAGAGGAGCGACACGGCCTCCAGGTTCTCTTTGATGATCATGTCCATGACCACCTGGAAGACCACCTCGATGTTGGAGGTGTCGGTTGCCGTGGTGAAGTGGTGGTAGATGAGTTTGCTGGGGGTAGCGTTGAGAGAGACGAAGGTGGCGGCGATGAATCGGGCGGCAGAATCCACATCACAGTCGGCACCTGGAGCAGAGGGGGGGGGAGACTATTACAATGAAACATCTGGCTCCTTTTTTTAAAAACAACTGAAAGAGTGTTTTTCTCCAAAGACCTGTGAATCCCATCCGAGGAGCGTTGACAGATTGTGAAATAGCTCAGATAACTTGATAGAATAGTCTTCAGGATTTACACATTTGTTTTTAGGAGGAACATAAACACACAAATCAGATGATGAATTCTTGTGAGGCTGATCCGTGCAGTGTATCTTTTGTCACGATAATCCATTAACTGCCAGCTGCATCAGGGACAGTGCGCATCACAGGAACTGTCACACCCAAACACAAAGTAATGGGAGGTCATTAAAACTAAGCGGTGGTGGAAAAATGATTCAGATCCTTACGTAAAAAGTAAAGAAGCATTACATTTAAACTACTTGCTCCGCAGTAAAGTATCACGTGTGACTGGTTCATTATTATATATGACATTATTAGATTCTTAAAAATGATGCAACCAGGTAAAGGTAACATTTTGCTGCATGTTGATAAGGCTAATGAATCTTCACTTTATCTTCTCGTGAAGTAGTTTATTGATAGGATTCCCAACCTAGGGGTCTTGCCACTCCAAAGGGTCACAGAATAAGTTTGAGAGCTCGTGAAATGATTTTGTTTATTCTTTTTCTTTATTTGTAAAATAATAGATAGGTTGAATACATCTAAATAAAACAATGTGAAAAGTTTATAGAATAAATCCCTTTTTGTTGGAACTGCTAACAAACCCTGGACGTCTGAAAAGTGACCAACTACAGGCAGTTTTTGAGTAGATGCACTTTTCTCCACTGTTACCAAGCAAGCAGAGAAATACAAATATATAAGAGCAATAGATCAATGGTTTAAAAACCCATACTCTGCCTTTCCAAGTGATGTAAGTTATACAGCAACTTTCAACACAAGGCAATTCAAAGTGCTTTACAAAAATGAAAGACATTAAGAAACATATTATGAAATGGCATTTCAAAACACAAGAATGCTAACCTACAGAAGCTCTTAGAGGCAAGCGTGTTTTTCTCTGGTGTAACATTTGATTTGTATAATGTAGTTGTTCCCTCATCTCTGTTCCCTCCAAAGTACTGAAGAAAAGGGAAAAGTCAACCTGAACATTTTGTAATGAGACAATGTTAGGATTGTCCACTTTTCTGTATTTGATCACATCCTGTTCAAACATTATACAACTGAACACATTTTGAACATGAAGTGTTGATGAGTGAACAGGAGTCGTCTGAGAGAGACTGGGAACTTCAAACGACAAAAGTTGAGAGCTTCTGTTTCAGACTGATCGTATCTGAGTGGGAGATGGACGCCTGCTCTTTGCCTAACCCAAGAGTTTTCACATTTATATTGACATTTGCATGAGAGCAGAGAGGACACCTGTTGAGCCTACTGAGACCTGGGGAGTGAAATACTGAAACATCTCAAATAAGACACACTGGCAACTTCATTAGATATTGGCTACACATATACAAGTTAATGCAAGCCAATACACTCAATCTGATTCAAGTTCTGCAGT